AAAAAAAATATTCAAAATCCTGTTTTTTTATAGTAATAAAAGTTTCTTACAGATTTGAAAGCGACCATGTTGCTTGATTTGGAGGTGTACCTTCCTTAGTGAAACGAAGAGGTGATGTGTGACTGCCAAGAAAAAGTTTCGCTTTTTATACTATGCACATTGTGATTCCAATTACGTTCCGAAATAAGCATTTGACGAATTGCGGGCGGTCAATTGGGATTCTTCGAGGCGCACTCGAAGAAATGGATCACATTGGAAAAGTTTTTTTAAGATTGCGAAATTGGAATTGATTCGGATGCATGTGTCTGCATAGCCATTTATACCTTTTTAATATTAACAACTTAGAACAAAGACTTCAGAAATTTATGTAATACAATAGTCTATTTTCATCTCGTTACTTTAATGGCAACATCATAGTATTAAGTAACGGAGAGGAAGAACATCACAGTTGTGTTGAAAATATGGATTTTAATGTTGAGCATTTTTAAATTAATCCGAAGTTTGATAAAATAGTTGCAACAAAATCCGTAATGCAGTTCAACAATTTTATAGTTTTTCAGGATAAGTATATCAGAAACGCAAATGTTAACTATATATTTGATACGCAAACAATCTTACTCCAGGCTTGGCTTCCTCAGTACGCCAATAATACTGTACACTTATTATTTTGTTTTGTTCAATAAACTAATATTATAAATGTGAAAGTTTAGATGGATGGATGTTAGAGTTTGTAGCCTAAACGGCTGAACGGATCGTTATGAAGTTTGGCATAGATGTAGTGAATATTATGAAAGAACACATAGTTTCAGTTTCAGATTCAGTTTTGTTTTTTTTTCATTCTACGCGGACGGAGTCGCGGGCGTAAGGCAGTGTTTTATATTATAGAGATGTGTACTTATTCAAATATTATAAAGAGTATATGAAAACAAAAACAAAAAAAATAGATATCTCGGTTATATGTTATTCAAATTTTTGTCAATAACTGAAAATAAGGTTATTATACAAACTTCTTGATCTACAAAGATACTTCTCTAGTTTTGTTTTATGGTATATAAACCTTTATCAATAGACCTAAGTTTACTGTTATTTAAAGTATATCATAATAATGTAATCACTAAACGTAGTATTCGCTGTAATACTAAAAATATCTGGATAATTTTAAGACAGATCGTTTTTTTAATTAAACGCAAAGAGAGACAGCGCCGGATCATTATATGTCGCTAATAATGTTTTTTTCCTTCCTCATTTCTTTCTTAGAAATCCACGAACAGTTTTGTTCACAAACAAAATAAAAATAAAACATATAACAGTTAATTACTAAATAGTTTGAACCGATTACAGTGATCTAGTTTTACAAGAATATGCAAAACAATGTAAAATACAAATATGCACATGTAAAATGTAAAAAAAAAATATTATAAGTTACCAACACACTAAAATTAAAATCTTGTATAAGTTTCTCTAATCCAGTTCATTGGATTTTTTCAAATTAAGTTGTTCTTCACACTGGACACTATCGAATTATTATTATTATTTTTTTTTTGTTAAGCTAGCGCTTGACCACGATCCCACCTGAAGGAGGTGACGATGCAGTCGAAAGATGGTACGAGCTAGCTTAATGAATGAGGGTTAAATGAAAAGAAGTGGAACATTAATAAGTTAGATATAGGGTTGAGTTGAGTTTTTAATTAAAACTTTTTGTGACTGAATTGCTTCTGTTTGCCTTAAAGAGGCATTTACAGATTCACCGGGCTTGAGGTGGCCGAGCGTAAAAAGCGTTTAGCCTCAACCTCGGTTATGTGTAGTTAAGTATTATACTAAAAAGTATTTATGTCTTTGAATATCAACCACACAACCGAAATATGTGGGATTTGCTGATTTAAAGTTTATTTCTAATGTTATTTAAGAATTAGTTACATGATTTTAATATTTTACCGTACTTACCATATATCGATTGTAATTAAAAAATACTGTTTTTTAATATACCGGTTTTATTGTTTTAAAAACAAAGAAAAATATAAATATGCAATGTTGAAAAATATTTCTTTACATCGGTTAGACAATTCATTCAACATTACCTACATTAGTTACATTCCTGCACACTCATGGCGATTGCTTGCACGCATTTAAATGATCTCCTTTTTCTAACGTTTAAAAGAATTTGAAAAACGTTTAGAAATAATTGTAAAACGAACTTGAAGATGTATGCAATCGTGTTAAGACTCTCGGTCAATTTCTGCGTAGAATCTTAAAATATTTTCACTGGTATACACCAGTTGGCAACCACTATGCTTTAACTAGATTTCTCTTGATGGCCCTGACACGGTTAATAAAAATCTTGATTATACGACAATAGAATTGTTCTGTGGATTTGCTGTCAATTCGTATGAGGAAGTGTTTTTCCCTTTTGGTAGTTACATAACATTAAGTGAAATTGGTGTGAGTAGGCCTAATTAGAATTCATCGCTCGTCGATGCGGTCTGGGTCAAAAATCGTGGAACTAACAGTAGCGGTGTCCTGCGCATTAACGGTCCGGTATATTCAGCTGCCGTGCGGTTGCCCAACGGAATCAACGCTCGGTATATAATGTCATGATATCCTGAAGACGGCACAGTCCATCTGATTCTCTAATCTTTTTCACTTGTGAGCAGTCACAAAAAACTCAAGCACAATGATCGCCAAATTCGTTGTGAGTTTTCACATTTACTTCTCAAGTTTTTTTTTAATTACAATAATAATAACAAAAAATCCTCTTCTTAGCTTAAAGGTATTCGGAAAATAATCAAGTGATTCTAATTTTTGCTGCTACTATTAAATATCAAACCAACAGAGGTTGGAACTCAATCATATGAAAACATACCAATTATAAGGATTTATGAGAATGTTATCGAACACAGCTGTTTCTTTTATGTTTCCATTAGCTAACCTCAAAATTATCTATAGTTAAAGTAGAGTAAATTGTATAAAAATAAGTGACTGATGTATGTTTTTGTTTGTTTATTAAGGTTGTCCTCGCCCTCGCCGTGGCCGTAAACGCCGGAGTGTTGCCGCTGGCTGCCGCACCCGCTGCAGTAGTGGCCCCCGCCGCGTACGCAGTGGCGCCATATGCCAGCTCGTACTCCGCGCACGCCGTCAACCATGCTGTCGCTGCCCCAGTCGTTGCCCCAGCCCCAGTCGTCGCTGCTCCAGCCCCATACGTCGCTGCCCCAGCTCCCTACGTCGCAGCCTCCCCCTACGTGGCGTCTCCTTATGTAGCATCTCCCTACGCCAGATACCTGTCTGCCCCAGTTTTAGTATAAACGAATTTGGTGACACCATTACCTAGTGACTTGCTCAAACGTTATGAATTACGATTAAATATTTTATAACTTCTGTATTTGTTTAATTTGAACCCTATCAAAACAAGACTTAGGAATTTAATGTTGTGAATTTTAAAATAATGTGTGTACACATAAACATACACGTTGAATACAAGTTATAAATAGCTACTACTCAAATATTAGGTTTAGTAAAAAGAAATAGAAAAGAAAAGTTCCACAAGTACATAATTACTGTTAATTTAACATGTGTGTGTTTCTATAGCGTAAAGTTTTCCGATAAATAATTTCCGGTCTCTTTCATACGTGAGACTTCTAAAGATCTTATAAATAGTAAACTTTGTCTACTGGGCCCGCAATTCAGCCGACCTAAAAAGGTTCTGGCAGAGGGCATTGCCCTTTGATTTAGAGACAGCAAATAAATCGTCCCCTTGTATTAAGTTACTGGACACATCAGCCCTTCGATAAAAAGAAAGCCTACTACAATTCATTTATTACCAAGACAAAGCCTACAAAAAAAATAAACTATTTGAAATATCCCTTATTCTTATATTATCAAACTATTTAAACATCTAGCAATATTAATTATATGGTCATTAATATCAGAAACAAGGCTGTTACCGCAATAAGCTTGACAGATATCTAGAACACATAATAATAAACTTATGTTTCTTACGTTAAAACGCTTGGGAACGTTGAAAATATGTAATAGAAAAATGCCTTTAAAATGGTAGTGCGAAGATATGACATCGGTAAAGGGGATTTATTAGCGTGAAACTTTAATGATCACTGATATCGCGACATGAAATGATAACGAGTCCAGTTGACCACAAAACAGTGTCAATGGAAACGCCCTGCCCTGCTTTAAACAACTGTCTAAAGATAAATCATAGAGAACTAATAAGATAGAGATTGGACAGTTTGTACATATTCATTTAATGCTTAATATTTTCAATTTTGTAAAGAGGAAAAAAATGTTGTTTATGATTTAGTTATTCCTGTTTCACATTATAGAAGTGATTTAAAATGCTTCTACATATTGAATATTCAATCCTTTCTATGACTATGTGTCCGAGTCAAATTGCCCAAAAGTCACCTCTAAACTGCAAGAAATAAGACAGATTTTTCGATGCTTCGTAGAACCCAAGATGAAATTGTTCTCTCGAAGAACCTGGTATCTGAGAGACTCAACCCAGTGATATAAACTGACTGAAAGTCTGTGCCGTGATTAAAATTGAATTTAAAAAAATCTTAGTAAATTAGACAGATGTTAAGAATATTAACACTTTCTTTATGTATCAAACACAGTTTAGTAGACTATGCAAATACGTGACAAGAAAACTAATTACCTCTCTGCAAACAAATTACTCTTTGCTGTACAGAATAAGTTACGTGTGTCGAACACTACAAGCGAACAATTTTCATGTAAGGATAAATAAATTTAAGCTGACTTACACATAACATAAATGGGACCTTAGGAGATTAAATAGTTTTGATACTTTATGTTTAATCTTCATATCAAGAGATCAACCTGAAGTTATTCTTATGCCGAATGTAAAATATTCTTACCCACAGAGATGATGTTGAGATATTATTTATCTGTCATCTTTATGCACATCGGACAATCATCACATTTTCATTATCACGGTCAGTTAAATATGTCAGCACATATAATTAACATTTTACAAGTGATCTCAGATATAAAACATACTGCTTGATATGATCACCATATTATTAAATCTTATTGCAACAACCTTGGTACTCATTTTAAAAATCATTCAATCACGTAAATCAAGAAGGAAGAGTACAAATTATCCTTTAGTTTATGCATCAGTTTCTCACTGCTTCTTCAACACCTATAATATATATTAATAATTGTCCATAATTATAATTTTCTATAATTAACAAAAAATCTTTTAGATATCAATTATTTTAATTTTCTATAAATACCAAGAAACAAAGTCGTCGTATATCATAGATAACGAACGCACGAAACGCATTAAAAATAAGATCAACCAAAGAACCATGTGTAATGTACTGAGTGACAAAAAATTATAGGTTCATTTTTTATTATATAAAAATAATTAGAAGCTAATCGTATGACTCGGCTTAGCTGATCTTATAGCTTATTTTACTTCTACCAATGAATTGTTTGATAGTTTTATCGAAATTAATAACCCACAAATATTAATTCTTAAATCTACAGACTCATAAATAATTACGTTGTTTCCCAAAAGAACAAGCAAAATAATTAACTTATTAACAACATAACCTAGCCACTAGTCATTTACTACTTTTTAAATATTCCAATTTATGGACAGAATTATTCCCTATTTTGTTTAATTTTCAGTTTGTTACAATGCAAGTAACGAGGAAGGTTAACTGCCAATCAGAATGGTACTCATTAATTAATAAAAATGTGGCAATGACGCAACAGACGAACAATATTACTATAAACAATAGATTATATTAATAAAAGCTGACGGACATGTTGCAATGGCTAACAGAATGCGAAGGTTTTGAAAGCGGTACGACAACTTATGAAATCCTTTGAATTTACTAAGTTCTTGTCCCTTGCAACCGTATCATGATCTTTCAACTGTTCTGCTACAAATTAGGATATAATCGTAAATACGATTTGGATCGGTACGAATTATTTATTTTCAAATTCTTAGAGGAATGTAAATCTGTTTTAAAATAAATAATTTATAAAATTTATATAAATTATAACACGGTTAAACTCACGAGACAACATTCGGTAATTTACATAGTATTGTTTCTCTCATCTCACGAAAGTTTTATAGAATTTAGTTTTATTTAGTTTTATAACTTAATGGATTTGAAATGGTATAGTTTATTTGTTACTATAGCTCTTAATTGTGTAAAAAAAACCTTTTTCTGAAAAAAAAAGAATGAGCAAAATTGGTCAATCAGGGGCGAAGATATGCGGTAACACAAAATACAGATTTGATAACCTCCTTCTTTTGGAGATTCGGTTGAATATTCATTGCTTTATTTATCTTCATTGGTGTATGTATTTAATTTTCAGAAAAGCAGAATAGTGACGTAGTCTGAAGTCCAGAGCAATCGTAAAATACAACTAAAGGTTACTGGGAAAGGGCAGTAGCATTTTCCTTCGTACTTATAAAATTAACAACCGAGACGCAAACGCGCTAAACATATGCGATAACAATCAGTAAAAATTCCATACCATTATTTCTAGAAATATTTAAAACGAAAGTAACCTAAGGTTTTCTTAAATAGGTACGAATATGCTTACTACTAACATAAACGAAATTCTAACAAACTAACTTGGCAACACTAAAACAGACTAAACACTAATAGCTTGTAAGGCATAATTTTCAACGACAATAATTTTGAATGTTGGATATTATTTTATTTTATCCTTATCCATATTTTCGGATTGCAATTATTCCTAGAACATAAATTTCGGAGTCCACTAACGGTTAGATAATATTAAGGACCGTTCAAACAATTTGTTTTGCTGTCGCTACTAACATAAGGGCACAGATGACCTAGGCCCTTACTAAGGGTAGGGTTAGACCGATTTAGTGGAACCATGTGACTAAACACTATAAAAGCTCGGCTCGCCAGAACCTTAGCACATTCGCTCCCAATCTCCTTTCTTTAATTCACATAACAACCCCCAATCAACCCTCAAAAATGTACAAGCTGGTAAGATTTTTTATTTCATATACACAAGTATTTTGTAATTTCACAATACAAAAGTATTACACTTCAAATGAAGTAACTATCTAAGAGTAATTGTATTCATTCTTAGTAATGGATATTTATAAATCTCGGTAATACAGAATAAATTAAAATTACGATATTATTTATTAAAGTTTAAATATAAATTACGAACACTAAATATAATTTGCTATATTATTGGTTTTTTAACACAAATGTTTTCACGCCCATAAACCAGAGATGAAAGCATTTGTTTTACATTTTGTACGCACGGAAATAATTTATAGCTTTTATTCTATGTATTTGATAGTAACAATTTGTAATTATATTTACCTTGTATCTCAATAACGTTAACTTGTTATAAACCTGTACTATTTTTTGTTACTAATCCCAATGATTTAAGATTCGATTACAAACGATTTATTTTTTCCAAACCTCGATAAATAGACTAATAGATCTGCTTTTATTCGATCTTTTTCTTGACGTTTCCATGATAATCTGACAAAAAGTAAATGGTAACGACCCAACAAGGTCAGATGTTGCTATCCGGTAGTCAATAACTTTTTATCCCAAGACAGACAAAAGGAAATTGTCTCACCTTAGCTCCATCACCTTTTTACGTGACTAAATACTTCGATACATGGAAAAAAAATAAAAAAGTTTGGAAAAAATAAAAAACTTTTTTAACAGAACACTATATTTATTATGTTTTCTAATGTTAAAAACATGTTAACAATTGTAAATTAATATTTTTATATCAGAGATACGAGCAAAAAATGTTTAGATCGTTTTAGGTTTTAGTTGTTAAAAACATAAATACGTTAAATATGCATGATACAAAATAAGTATAATTTCTATAGCTATAATTTATGGAGATTGTAAATTTAAGGAATAAGAACGAATGAAAAAGTTGAAATATTAAACAACACTCGTACTCGCAATTATAAAAGGTGACATTAAATCATTACTGACAACTTTAATAACAAGTTTAAGCCAGTACTTATATTCTATTAAATTAATTCAGATCTTTACTTGGAATCTGGCTTTGTAACTTTAGTCGGGTACAACCGCCTTTTAATTAAATATTATTTTACAAAGGTACTGCCTATTTATACCACTTCCTCGCTTTGACACAAACACCGTTTAGACAAAGCTTTGTTCAAATTTCGATTTCCGTATATTTTCGAAAATATGAAAGTACTAACTGTCGCCCGCGACTCCGTCCGCGTGGAAAAAAAAAGTGAGTAGCCTATGTGTTCTTCCAGACTACCCACTACATCTATACCAAATTTCATCGAGATGCGTTCAGCCGTTTATGCCACAAACTCTAACAAACATCCATCC